ATATATAAAATTATAATTCAGCCCTAGGGTTTACATCCTAAGCCTTTTTCTTCTCTCACCCTTTTGAGTCGACAGCACTTGCTCAACATTTACGCAGGTAATTCTGTTTGCCCCGTCTTCCCAGCTTCCAGCCCTTACAACGAAGCATTTTCCACACCTAAAATTTCAAGGGAGAACTCCCTGAGGTGAGCTGAAGATTGCGTGTCCTCTCTGAGGAGCGACCCCTGCACTCTAACATTGATACCCACTGAACTAGCCATAATCTTCTTGGACTGAGATGCATACTTTGGCTTGACTACAGCATCAGAGAGAGCGTGTGCTGAAGTGTGCTCGGGCACACTAGGGCTTAATTTTCCACCATTCACTTTGTTGTCCAAAGTCCCTTTAGTGACATTCTCAAATTTAAAAGAAACAAAAACACACAGCCATGTAAGACTGGGGACTGACTAAAATATGACCAAGTGACCCCCTGGACTTACCACTGTTGGTGACTGGAGAAAGGGGGTCCGATGCTTGCAGGGAGAAATTCGATCAGCTGGAGTTAGTTCTGACTCCAGATGGCAAAGTGGTGTTTGTTTTTTTTTAATTTCTACACTTAAAAAAAATCGTAGCCAGGCAAAAAGTTCAAGGAGGTGGAAGCATCAAGGACAGCAAGACTCGGATCTGCAAAATCCTGCCTCAAGCGCTTGAAAAATTAGCCAAGTTGAAAACTCACCAAGAGGTTCAGGGCCACCAAAACAAAACATGGTCATACTGTATATACAACACAACATAGCTACCGTGAATTTACAGATACCGTACTGACATCCTACTTCTATTTTAGATAGTTTGCTATTTGTCCTGTAATTAAACTAGAAACCAGATACAGCCTTTGAAAAGAAGGCTTCGTGGTCCTTCTTCTCCAGGTCCTCCCCCCACCAAGAATACAGAGCTTTCAGTGAGTGTGCCATGGAGTTCCACTTTCTTCTTTTTAAGCTCTCTTCTCTTCATTAAATAGCCCGTCAGAACCAATATTCCGAAACAAAGATGTGCACGTTGACAACATTACGATGTGAGACAACCCCTCCGACAACGTAGTTCATCTCTAGCTTCAGGGTGGCATAGAAGGGACCGATGATGGGCTTCACTTGTCGAACGACACCTGTGGGTGGGAAACAGCAACAACAGCAGCAATGATTAGCATCAACGTTTTTTAATCCCTGTGACAAGACGAGCAATGCCTTGTCTCCTCCTGCTAGATCCCTCCCAAAGGATGGTATTGGGAAGCTGCTGTTCCACCTTGTGGTCTTCAGTTTATGGGAGGCTACAAACCTTGTTTTCCAGGTTGCCCAGCATCCTCATAAGAGGATGTGAGGTCATTCAGAAATCCACTTCTCTGGGTTGCTATGAAATAGGAAATTTAGTCCTGACTTTCATTTCTATCTTCTAGTCTCAGAGAGGGAACTAGACCTAGAGGGATGGATCAGGATAAAATTTAACTGAGACGAGATGGACATTCAGCCAATCGTGGACTAGGAACAGATAGATGCCTTGTTGATAACTGAATCTAACCTTAGATTTGCTGTGGCTGCTGTCCTTTAAAAACAGCGTTCACAGCCCGGGGCCTCAATCCAGCCTTTCTCCAAGAGAAGAGGTTGCAAGTGGCTTTTACTGCATTTGGCTCAGGGGTGTCCACGGGGAGCAGGGGGTGTCCAAAAAGTCAAGATGGTGGCCACAACCATGCAATTGAAGCCCCACACTTTTTTTTACATGCAGTGCCATCTTGACTTTTTTGACTGCACTGGGGACACCCCTGGTTCAGGTATTATGCCTTTCGCAGACTTTCCTCAAGAAGCTGTGGTCACTTCCAGGTTGGGTCACTGGGCTGTTCCCTGAGGATATTTCTGAAAGCTTTGCCCCGGGTTGCAGGTACCCCTTTAAATAGTATTTCAAGAATTCCACTGTTTCTGGTGCTACTGTCAGACATGTTCTTCTTGTTCCATTTTCATGGTGTCCCACCTTAAGCACATTTTATAGTTAAGGGTCAATTAGAAATGCTTTGAAGTGGACTTGCAGTGTCTCTTCCTTCATCTCCAGACTCCAAACCTACATTAAAAATCTGAGTCCAGGAGCAGTTGATACAGGATCTGCAGAAAGAAACCGATGTGCCTCCTCTGTGTAATTTTATGAAAACCACAGTGGTAAGCAATACTTTGTAAAGATTTGCACCACTTACTTTGGAGGAAAACCAGAAGGAGAGAATCAGCCACCCTTTTTCCAGCTGAACACCAAAACCTATCTTTGCAGAGGAATTGATGTTCTCATGGAAAACAAGCCCACAGGTGTCCAATACGCGGCATCAAGGCATTAGATGTGCTCTGATGTCCTCACACAAACGATGCAGACGATGACACCATGATGTCCTGACTCATTTACTCTCCTTGCAAACAGCCATGAGCAAGCCACAGAATTAGGAATAAGGCTGAAGATGGTACCTTGAGGAAGGGACTTTCCTTCCCATGAGGAACACAATCAATCCTTTTCTGACGGAATATTACCTTTGAGTAAACAGATCGAGCCTTACTTTGAAGTAACACAAAGTCTGAAGCAATTGTGACGGCAGACAAATAGCAATCCGTTTGAAAAAGTGAATTATCTGTTCCCAAACCAATGACTTACTGACAATTTGCCCTCCAGTTTTCTTTTTCCTACAAAGTTGGTTCTCCCCATGACAGAATACCTACAACTAGAATATTGTCTGCTTTGTAACTACAGAATATAGGTTAACCTAGGGCCCCACAGATTTATTTCTGCTGAGCAGAAACTTCTGGAATTGGGTATCCTCCTGGGGTTGTTGGAATTTATCAGTAGCATTTGATCTGGAAGAACATCAGTTTGAGGGAGGGTTCTGTGAAATGTATCCCAGTTAGATCTTTGTTGAGATCATGTTTCAGAAAAAGAGTCCTCGGCATTTGCAGAATTCTTGAAGCTTCTCTTCGAAGAGCACATTGGCTCAGCATTGGATGGAGAGATAAAGAGTTTCTTATGGCAGCTGTCAGCACCCTTTTTTCTGAATGTTGTGATAATCTCAGACTCCTTTCCTATTTAAATTTTAATATCTTCATGCCATGAAATAGCAAACTTCTCAACACGTTCATTCTGCTTGCCGTATTTTGTGAATGCGCCTCTCTCCATGAGCTCCCTTCGCCTGTCCTAAAATATTCTATATAGGGTTCCTTTCCTTGGATTGCTTCTCCTCCTTTCCAGAGGATGGACTCATCTTAGCAGGAGTTAAGGTAGATGTGGAGATGAACTTCCTAGAAGATGCAGAAAATATTCGAAATACTTGCTCTTTAGCATTATCTTCGGGCTCTTGCCATGTGACTAAAGAGGAAGGAACTCTCATCACCCAAACGTTTGCTATTTCATTCTTCATCCACGCCTTGTCAGGAGATGGGGCTGGGAGATGATGATACAGTATGGAAGGAAGCCAAGCTGCCTTTTCCGGCATCAGCGTCTATAATCCACACCTCCAGAAGGCAAATTTGCCATCCTGTCAACAACTTGTCTCTCCTAAAGGTTTTGAACTATTCGAACTACGCAAAGGCTGGAAATTTTTGTCTGAGTCACTGCCAAGCGAATGAGATATCACCACCACCACCTCAGATTAGTAAGGAAGTCATTCCCAGGAGGACCACTTTATGGCTTCTGGAACCTCAGAAGACATCTGATCTTCCAATTCCTTACCAAAATCCCCAAAACAGAACATGGCAAATGGTGGATCTACACTGAGCCCAGGCAAAGCTGAAGTTCTCCTGACTCCCCAACCCCACCTGTGATTCTACCATCATTCCAAGCTGCAACCAGATTTAGACTATTTAGACTAAATTTAGACATTTGGGTGGTTTTAAAGAACAGAAAAACAAAAAAACAACACCCTCCCCAAACAGCAAATGTTATTCCTTCTTCCTTCTGACCTGCCAGGGTTTTAAGACTTACTGTTTGCTTTAAGACTTAGATTCCTCTGTAGCAGGCTGGAACTGGTAACTTATGACCTGTTTTTGACGTCTTTTTTCCCACAAAAAATGTCAAGGATTGAAGTTCAGATGGCATTGACTGTCAAAATATTTATCCCCACAATACTTTGAGAAAGAAAAAAAGAAAATGTTGTCGTAGGGATAACCCAGATCTTATATGATATGAATATATATTCAATACAGTGTGCCCGAGATGAGATTTCTATATAAGGAATTGATGGTGTAGCCAATAAAAATTACCACTATGTATACAATGGCTCAAAAAGTAGGGTTTTGTGGTGAAATTTGGGGTAGATGATTTTTGAGATCGTAGTACAGTATGTTCAAGAGTGCTTCACTACCTCCCCCAGAAATACAGTATGCTGCAGGTTTGTTAATGCTGTTTTCTTTCTGTGATGCCACGTTTGTGATGGGAGGGACAGTTAATTCTCATCTCAGCATGCTGGCTGGGGAATTCTGGGAGTTGAAGTCCACACCTCTTAGAGTTGCCATGGTCGGGAAACCCTGGTTTAAGCAGTGTCTTTATCATCCTGGAGGCAAATGATGCCACATGGGTGGCCCTGGAAGCCCCGCCCCTTTGGAACATTGCATGCAAATACTGTACATGAGGGGCGGAGCTTGTGTTCTGATGTCGCAATGTGCATTTCAATGAAATCTTGCCTGGCTGGGGTGCCTGTGATTGACATTATAGAATCAGACAATCGTAGGATTGGGAAGGACCTCCTAGTCTTCTCCTGCCCAGGGCAGGGGTCTTCAGACCATCCCAGGCCAGTCTTTCCTTGAAAACCTCCAGGGATGGAGCCCCACAACTCCAGGAGGGAGGCTGTTCTGTTGATTAAGAGCTCTCACGGTCAGAAAAGTCCTCCTCACTTCAACTTTGGAACTCCTTCTGTAAAGCTTCTACCCGTTGGTTCTTGTCTTACCCTGAAGTGCTAGGGAGAATTTATCTACTCTTTCTTCCCTGTGACAGCCCTTCATCTATCGGAAAACTGCTATCATCTCTTCTCTGAACATTAATAACATCATTGTTATTCTTGCTACTACTCCATAGCTAGCTATTTAGGAGGACATCCAAGCACACCATAACGTGACACACCCCTGTTATTCGGCAGAGGGGCCCAGAAAGTTCTTGTCTCAGCGTCCCCCTTCCTCTTGCTGAACATCTCCATCTTCTTCCCGTCAGAATCTTTGATCTACTGCTCCCTCCACGCTGAAGGCATTTCTCGGGCACATCTCTGTGGCTGGAGGATCTAATTACTTCTCCCTCCCTCTGGCCACCCTTTGAAATATGTAAGCGCCTCCAGCAACTCGCTTTCACGGCTCACTGCTGCTTGCGTGCTGCACCCCATCGCCAGCTGATTCCTAACCTGGCATCTTGCACTTGAAAGAGGCACTGATTTAACTCCTTCCTCGCAACTGTTGCCGAGCTGAGAGTCCTTCAGAGACAGGCCACCATTGCTAACCCTAGAGCAGTTGCTTCAATGCCAAGGGGGCCAATGCTGCCTTACTTTCCTCCTGTGCTAAAAGGTTGCAAGGGAGCATCTGGGCTATGGCCTCCAGGTCCCATCTTCAGAGCATGGAATTCTCTCCATTAAGGCAGGATCCCACACGGTGACTTGCAGAATCTTCTAGACCTTGTAGGAAGAGAGCTGTGTTGTCTACAGTAGCAAAAATGAAAAGGCGTCTGATAGGACCTTATCAGACCAACACATTTTCTTGAGAGGCATCAGCTTTCATGACATGCAACTCCTTCATCAGTTGCATCTGATGCATGAAAGCTGATGCCTCTTAGTAAAATTCACTGGGCTGGAAAGGTCCTACCAGTCTCCTTCAGAGTTTTCTAGAGTCATCCAACTATTTTGGACCGAAATTACAGGAAAGAGGGCTGACATGACGTTGTCTGAACTATGGCTGTGTGATGCTGGAGGCCTCTGGCGGTTATCCTGCCAATCTCTGGGTAGGAAAAGTGAAAAGTCCCTTCCTGGGACTTTGTGGGGTGCATCCATTTTGTTTTCTCAGCAGCTACACAGACATGCCTTGCTACTGCCTTCCTTCCAGGAAGTCATAGAGCTCCTGATAAAAATAAGCTAAGGTAAGACAGTTATTAATACTATATTTATTTCCA